CACATAGAGCGGCGATCGGCTGTTATTCGAAAACGTTATATTCTTTATGTTAATCTCCTCAAATTATTCAGCATGTTCAGATCATTTACAATTTATGCTGTTGTCAAACTAGCATATGCTACTCAGCTGTTTTTAACTTGCCTTATAGATCATTCTAGTTTTTACTTTATATCACAGCTACTACTTCTATCAAGTAATGATGTTCATCCGAACCCAGGTCCTGACGATCATTTTAAAGCTTTTAAAAATACCATCCGTAACACAGAATTACTCCAGGTACCTAACTTTTATTTCTATGGAGAAAGAACCAAATAATATCTTGCATACAAAATTAAGAAATCAAGCTACAGTAGTACATTGAGAAATGACTGATCTAGATCTAATCTTGTCGCTGATCAAACTTGTCGCTGTGTGCATGTGGCTATCCTTATGAAGATGCCCTATCATTTCCTTTTTAACTGTAATACTTATGCTGAATAAAGAATAACCCTCTTCGGTGAACTTAATGCATAAATTCCTCTCACCGTTAATTTACTCCTTTTAGGAGATACAAATTTATCTAAGCAGGAAAATGAATTACTCATGATTGTAACAGAGTTTAACCCACCCCGCTCCCTTCCCTTCTTCCTATCTCTCTGTGTTAGAGTTAAACATCAGGTTGTATATAAGTTTAAATGATTTTGTACCGATCTTTTCCGATGCTGACGGCACAAGAGAAACGGATATTCAAGGACGAACGGAATGACAAGGAGGAAGCAAACCAAGGCACGGGAGTGATGGACAATAGTACATGGCACGGAAGTGATGGACAATAGTACAAGGCACGGGAGTAATGGACAATAGTACAAGGCACGGGAGTGATGGACAATAGTACAAGGCACGGGAGTGATGGACAATAGTACAAGGCACGGGAGTGATGGACAATAGTACAAGGCACGGAAGTGATGGACAATAGTACAAGCAGAATGTTTAGGAAAGTGTATAGTGTCAACTTCTGCCGTCAGTGTTGGAAAAGATTGTCCACATCATGAAAAGAAATATTTAAAAAATCTCTCTCTCTCTCTCTCTCTCTCTCTCTCTCTCATAAGATATGTGCAAATTGTTGTGTATATTGTTTATGCCATCTTGAATTTTGTTAATATTTACAGATGTTTTATTTTAGGGAAAGGGCTTTAAATAAGCTGTACAACTTATGCGCAATCATGTTGTTTTAAAGGCAATAACATATTTATAAGTCAAATCAAGAATAAAGTTTCTCTCATTTCGTGGTATGCTCAGGATGGACTCAAATATAGACATGCAACATAATACCAACTATGTGTGATCTTAAGTGTTCTTCTTATGTATACATAATCCTTTTCCACCCCCCTCTTTCCACC